AATGACAAAAGGCACACTCAAGAATAAATAGCAACTCATATGAAAGAGCTAGAAAATTTTTAATTGATAACATGGTGCTTATTCTACTTCTTGTATAATAAATAGCACCTTCAAAGAGTTCTGCATCCCCATATGTATTTCAAAGAACTACTATAGCACAGAAGCAAAGGGATGAACACTGTCTACTGAACAACCATTAATTCCCCATGCAGTAGGAGTTCTCCCATCAAAAAAAATTCACATAAAACATTCACATACAAAACACTCAAACACAACCAGGTACTGCAGCTTAATGAAAAAGGAAATAAATTGGCACGTCCTAAAATAGATAGTCATTCATAGGTGTGATGTGTCTGTCCGAAAAGATCACGTTAGAGATGTTGACCACATCTGCAATATGGCATAAAGTCCCCAAACATACATATTTATATTCCAAGTACAACTACTGAAAATTGTTTGATAAGAGAACATTTTTGTATTGAGACACTGTAAGGAAAACAAATTAGCCTAGGCGGTCTCAGACTTGAGTCATTAGAAAAGCCCATCTCTATACTATTTTGTATGTGGCACTGTAGCTATATCTGTACTGAGGTGTACCCTGCAATGTTTTAAAAATTGGTTAAGAAAAACTAAAAATCTGCTGTAGGATATTAAACATGGCAAAAGTTTTCTGGGTTCAAGGAAAGAATGGAAATGGTTTTGGATGAAAAAACATGCTGGAGATTATAAATGACATCCCTCAGGCACAGGAGTTTGGACAACATGAAGAGTAACGTGGTTGGACGAAAAAATATTGTGTATGCTTGCCTGATTCTTCTCTTCCCTTGACACCTGACATTGGCTACTCTTGGAGGTAGACAGACCCTTGGGCCTGACCCAGAATGGATGCTTTTATTTCGTGTTTTACTCTGAATATTTTAGAGTTATAAGTCAGTCTTTTAAGACAGAAAATCTTCACTCAAGCAATTGAGTAGACAATTGAGAAAAAAAAAGGTTCACTGATTAGGACAAAGCTGTATTGATGGGACTTTTAACAGCATTGCACTGAAGCAGTAATTGCTTACTAAAGCCAGATGTACAAAAGGTGCAATAACCACCCACACTATAACTAGTGCCATCAGCTTTTCACTTTCTTAGTCCTGAATCCACCTACAACATAAAATTCAATTAGGAAAGTGGATTGCCAAGAACTGATGCAATAGAGGAGGATCTGTATTCTGCAATGTTGAGAGTAAAGTGACTCACAGCAGCGAGCTAGCCAGCTAAGGTAAACAAAATCATTCTTTATCTTCTCACTCTGGATCAAAAGGAACACCTGCAGGAAGACAGAGAGTAAAAGATTATACATGCATGTACTTTTAAACAAACAGAAGGCAGACCTGCCTCATTTCAGCATGCAGATAAGGCTTAGGCCACATGAACAACTGCTCCATGAGAAGAGTTAGGGTATGCAAGTGCAGTGTAGAGGCATCTCTCTGTGTCGGGTAGGTGGAGGATTCAAACAGCACCATGCTTATCAAGGGACTTCTGCAGCTTCAAAACAGCAAGCTGTGCGGTGGGTGCGGCCTGCTCTGAACAAGTGCCAGTGGGCGGCCATGCAACACAAACAACACAAAGGAATACGGGGCCTGTGGGAAAAGCTATTTGGAACGTGTTTGTTTAGAAAGCAATGCAAGCAATTACATTAGCATCTTCTTGAAATACCAGAAGTTTCACATACATATGAGCCTTTCCTCCCCATACATGTTAGAGATCATTCCAGGTCAGCAATAAGCCTTTTCTAACCATTTTGGTTTCAGTAAAGTTCTGAAGCAAGACATTCATCTTTTGTAACTTACTGTACAAGTACAGGTTTACTACAGTCTACATCTAAAGGGATGCGTGGGGGGGAAGTTATAAATTTTAAGATGTAGGCTGGCTTTGCTCACAGAAAAAAGCTATTTATGCCTCTCTGCAAGTGTATCCATAACTATAGTAGGATGCTACTGGCAAAACTCAAAATACCTTTATAGGAGCTGACGTATGAATTGGAACAGTGAGTCCCACAAATTACTAACATTTTTATTGTTTAGACATTGCTGATCCCCTAATTTTGGGAGGGAGGGAAAGGGGTAAGGGAAGAAATAAAAAGAAAGCAGCATTATCAATGTAAGTAGCACTTTATCACAGGTTTTATTTCACTATGTCCAGGGAGGTAAGCTTTTAAATAACTTAGTGAGTGCTACATGTGGACATATTTTACAAGTTTATGAGAGACTGGGGAAGGGTGATCTTTGTATGAAAGTGTCATCACAATCAAAGATCAGACATTAGGCCAGACTAATCAATTTAATTACATAATTCTGTTATTTAAATGCATCAGCTACATAACACAAGTTTATATAGAACCATTTGAAGAGAACATATAAGGAAAAATGTGGATTAACAGCAGTTTACATCTTTGTGTTTCTTTGTTGCCAGGCTGCAGTTAAAGCTTACTTATAGCATTATCATTTTTATGAAGTCTCAGGAATCAGTGTAGTCTCCTAGCATAGTTTGAAAAGATACTCACCAGCATTTTCATTAAGCTAACTAAATTAAGGTAGGTGAATTGAAATATATATCCATTCTGCCTGACAGTCTTGGATATTTTTCTTAAGGAGAGATGCAATTTCAGGTCACAGAAATTAAGGGGGTAGGTGCTGGGGAAGAAAAAAAAAGAAAAAGAAGAAAACCAGGGTCTCTGTTGTCAAGAAACCTGAAGAGTTAAAAAGTTAGAAGGACAGGAAAAACAACAAAAAATCCCCAAACCAACCAAACCTATATGATTCACTTTAGACTATGTGGTTGGGGTTTTTTTCTGGCTTGTCTTTTTTCTGGTCTTGTGGAAAATGTTGCTTCCATCTTCATAATAGCTATTTGCTTTTGCATATTTTAGTTGTAATTAAGTTTCTACTGCACATAGACATAAAAAATGCTGTGTATAGAAGTTAATCTCTTCCAGCTGCATCTGGATGCTGCTGAATAAGATAGTGAGCACTTCCTGTTTTCCTCCCACATCTCCCAAAGGAAGAATTTTTTTTTTTTAAATTACAAATTTCTAGGGACACCTAGAAGCGCTTAACTATTCAGTGTCTTTTACTCAGCACACCCTAGTCAGTCTGAACAATAAGACTGCCTGGGATCCCAGACAAAGCGTAGGAAATCTGATTAAGAGGGCATTCTTTGATCAATTAGAGATAGCTGCAAGCACTCTTGTGATGCACCAAAAGCAGCATGACTCCCCATATACCTCACATTACAAGATTAGCAAGATAATCTTTTCTGAATAGTGTTCACTGAGAGTTTCAGTTCCTCTAAGAAGGGGAAGATGACGTTCCACACAACCTGCTTATTTTCAACTAACATCAAGATATGGAGGGAGAAAAGGAAGAGGGCAGTATGTGGGAAATGTTTCCATTGCTGTTTTTTAAAGAAAGTAAATACATACCTCTTCAGCCTCACTAAAATTGCCCATCGCAGCTTTGGCTTGGGCGTAGTTGAAGTTAAAAGTGTCATCGTTGTAGAAGTAACTCTGGAGAATAAACCACAGAGACAAAACCCAAATACATAAACCAAAAAAACCTCCTGCCATGGTATAATAGCATAAAAAATATCCCCCCCTCAAATCTGAGTCAGACTATATCAAGACAATGGGAAGGAAAAAGAAAAGCCCACATTATGAACATAAGGCATTTATAAACAGTGGGTAGAAAATTACGGACTGGCTTTCCATCCTACATTTGTGACTACAAACACAGCTGGAACATTCCACAGTATTAACCATGAGAGATCTGGAGAATGCTCCAAGCTCCAAATTGCAGCGGCAGCTTTTGTGAGTATAATTTGCACTTTGGGCATGTGAAGACATGCTGTGCTGCCATGGTCTCTTTCACCTCCTAAGCACTTATTTCACCACTAGGGTGGTGACTCCTTAATGACTTAAGGAGATGAACAGTTTGTTTTTCAAAGACTTCTCAAGGTTCAGCAAGAGATCCTGTGGATCTGGTTATGTGACAGAGCTAGTCTGACACACTGGATCACATGATGGAGGTGGAGCCGCAGTACTGGGCTGTAGCCAGGCAGCACAGTGCATAATAGGTCTTTCTTAAGCTCAAGCCTTGCTTACAGGCACCCTTCTCTCTATCTGAAGTGCAACGCTAAGTTTTTCTCTCTCATAATATTAGACTGGACACGCCTGGTTAACGACAGATCAGGTTGATCTAGCTGTGTCTTTTCTGAAAAGCTGCATAGGCCAAAGTAGGGAATCTAAGTACAGATTAGTCTGATGATTGGGTTTGAGCCGAATAGCTTAGATTTGATCGTGGTCAGATGTTCAGACTGAAGTATAACTCAGACAACCAAAAGTCAGCTGAGTGTGTTCTACATTCAGCACTGGCCCACACTGTTGCAGCAGTAGACCTGGTAGAGGTAAGGTGGATCACAGTACCACAGCTACAAGCATGAGGATCCCTGCCAAGGAGAGGTTCAGTGCTCATGAAAGAGCATGGAAAAAAAGCAGGATGGTTTATCCACATAGTTACTGTAAGAAAAGCCTTCCTGCGTGCATAACAGCAAGGTGTGTGGAAGAAGAAATGTTCTTCCCTACATAACATCTATAAAAGAAACAGAACTTGTGTAGGAAGATCAAACTTTTGTTTTGTTCCCTCAATAAAGATTGAGGAGGAGGTAAAAAGCATGGTTGGAATTGTACAAAAAATATGGAAAGCAAGGGGCAAAACCCTTTCACAGTGCTCTCTATCTTCTTTCATGATGTAGGAACACTTGAAGAACCTCTTCCCTTCCCTCTTACAGGCAGTCAACAAAGGGTACTGATCCAGTCCACACACATACATCAAGCTAGCGCCTTGAGAGGAGAGGTGTGGCCAGAGGTCTGGGTTTCACCCAAATAGTCTATGTTAGGGTCCAAAAGCCAGCAAATATAGCAATCTATGTGAAAGCATGAGGATGAACCAATCAGGTGAATCTTAAGCTCAGTTTGTGAAAACATTTCAGTACTCTTAGGGTGAACTAACTGGTTTCACCATATGAGAATTACAACACTTTACTGTATTCTTCCTCAATGATAGTTTCATGTGACTCAGCACAAGTCCCAGGTTCAGCAAAGCTGGTGAGCAAGATGCTAGTTTTACTGCATGAATAGTTTCTTCTGTTCAAATAGCCCCCATTGTATTTTTGAACTAAAACAGAAAAGAAACTCTGTCAGCAACCAAACTCAGAAACTGTGTCATTCTATCCTGGATGTATCAGCACAACCAGACCCTCTGCAAATGCAAAACCAGTAAAAATGAACTTGTGCTGCTGATAGTGCAGCACATTCACGAAACAACACGTTCACAGCAGGTAGATGTTCTGTTCTTTTTTTTTTTTTTTTTAAACCATATTGTAAGTACTGGACTTCACTCTTTTGTGGTCTTTTTGGTGGTCTTCAATCTCTTCATAAAACTAATTGTGCTCTGAGTGATGTCCATTTCAATGAGATGCTTGGATACCCAGTTGAACAGTGAAGCATTCGTTGTGGCCAGAACTCAGCTGAGCCTGAATTAACTTGTCTTCTCAGCTGATCCTCAGTGTTATAATGTCACCTTCAGGGCAGCTGGCAATACATTTATAATAAGGTGTTCTTTAAGACATTCTCATGCCTAACGCAGTTTTAATCTATCATGGATGAAGGTGCTGCTTCCTGAGAGAATATCATAAAAACAATTTTCACAGAATGCACAGCTCCACTTAGAGAGCTGCAGAGATTCTATGGAAGTTTATTCCTGTGAATGAAACACAAAAAGTGACTATAAAGCCACCTGAACCTTGCCTGTAGCATGGTACAGGAAGAATTATTGCATCCCTGTAACCTGAAGAGAAGGGGAATGACCAAAGTAAATCTGAGCAGTGGCTAGACTCATCTAAAAAATGATGAGAATGATGAACTACTTCAAAAGGATCACGCAAGGAAAGTGATAGTAGGCAGAAAACTTTTGTCCTTAGTCCTTGCTATTTATTAACTCCATTATGTCTCAAGTTAGCAGTACTTATGATTCCCTTCAAGAATTTAACAAATACATCTTTTACTTAAGCATGACCATTTTGCAACTTGCTAGATACAATCTATAAAACCTTCCTGACTTGCAACCTCAACCCTACCTGGAACTATGACAATTAGTTCCATAAACCAGCTGTGTTTTGAGAGGGGAAAAAAATGCATTTTCTTAGAAAAGACATTGTGAATTTGCTGCAATTCCAGCAAGCTGTATCTTTGTTTCAGCCTCTCCTAATACAAATGGAGGTTTCAAATCTATCTTGTTTATTCTAGTCCTCATTTTGTATAATTTTATTTTCTTAACTTTCCTCTATAGCAAATAGTATCTTTTTTCTAATTATCTTAAGACAATATTTCAATTTCTAATTATTCTCTAAATTACCTTTCCTTCTGCATTTGTGGGGGTAGTGGCCAGTATTTCAACTAAGAGTACACCACTGTGCAATGAAAGGCATCGATTTTTCTCTGTACTGCATTTTCTTTGCTTAACTTTATATTTTGTTTCACTCTTATAAATGCATTCACATTACAACTGTAAAAACTCAGGGAATATTTAAAAAAAAATTATCATCTTAGCCTAGACATGGGTCAAATCAAAACAGATACATGGTTACTGATGCCAAAGGCATGTATATGTGGACAAGTCCAGCTTGCACACTGAGATCCACATATATATGTTATAATATGCAACAGTAGTTCTACATACTTTCAGCAAAACAGCTAAGTTTAAAAAAAACCCCACACCCAAACAAGCAGTCAGATAACCCTTCCCCTCTCCTATGCACACATAATAATAATTTCTCCCAAATCTGACAAGAACATTTCTTCTTCTAGTTGATAAATACAGCAGGATTGAAGGCTTGCATATCTGTATCTGTCACTGTTTCTGCCTCCCTCCTGACAGTTTTTAAACATTAAATCTATTTCTCACCTGTATTTCCCTCTGCATGGGCTCTTACTAACATCTTACAAAATAATGCAGAGTATTCTGTGCTCTTCCTTTTCCCTTCAGATTTTCTTTCCAATCTTTCTTACAACACTTTCCTTTATACCCTTTACAGATGCAGAATTGCCTCACCTAATCCCCTCCCTGTAGCACTTCTTTTGCCTCATGACTTTGACCTATCCTCTGATCACTCTATTGCTCAGTTTCACCCTCTTAATTTCTGATTAGTGTCTTGTTCATTTCTAGCTCTTTCCTTTACAAACTCTAGCCTTACTTTCCAATATTGATGACAACTCCATTTGCCTCCCCAAATGCTACTCTCCTCTCTCTCATTTCTAAGCTTTCCCATATACCTTGGAGGTGGTGAGTAACTTTAACCTTTTCAGGTTAGAACTAGTTATTTAAGAACTTTTTGAAGGAAATGGAAAGAGCTGGGCATTTCTATGGGATGACTCATTCCACTCTAAGATAGGTATAAGAAATACGCAGGATGAATTCTCCTCTGGAAATTACCATCTGCCCCCGTTGGCTATAAACTGAGACCAGATTATCAGTTATAACTAGAAATCTGACTTTTAGATAGCTCAAGTTAGGCAAAACAAATCTCATTGTTAGTTTCCAGCTGTCTTTTTCTTCAATTACACATACACACACTCCAATTTGGGGGTGGGGGTGGTAGTGCTGTGTCTCTTAATTGCACTATAGTGGAGCCATCCCAGTGAAATACAGATTTCTTCAATGACTTCTTTTCAGATAAAGTTTAAAAACACTACACCTTTATAATTTTTCACCCATCAGCTGCTTTTGGCACCATTACAACCACATGTTTTTCTTTAGATCTTACTCTCCTTAGAACATTGTAATTGTGCTCATCTTGTCTATCTCCCTAATAATTTATTCATAGATTCTTGGTCCTCTTCCTACCAAATACAGAGTCTTTACAACTCTAGTTTCAAATCACTGGAACAAGACTGCAATCACTTAACCCTATAATGACACTCCAGCCTCTCTCTTTTTCCTCAAATCTGACTTATAACTAGATATCTGTAAGTTATATCCATTTTATCCATTGAGTACTAGGGATCCGATAATGCTGCATTATGATAATGGCAATCTCCTCCTCTTACTTTGAAAAATCACAGAATCACTAGGTTGGAAAGG